GAGAACGTACGTTTCCAGTTTGCTGCAGCATTTAATTAAATCGCTCTTAGCCATATATAAAGATTTGTGTGTATATTTGCATAACGTTATATTAAGCACATGGGATTAATCTTGAACTCTGTTTCTGCATACATTACGTGCGAATAATGAAATGACACGTCTATAATTTTTATCACAACTTGCATCATATAATAATGATGACCATAAATTTTCATTTTTGAAAATGCTATACATATTAGAAGTATTAAAAAATCAATTCCGAATTTTTACTACCTTGTTTTCTTCTTATTCACTGCCTTGCATCTGCAATACTACTCTTTTTAATTTTTTTCTTGAAAAGATTTGTGACTATATGTTTTATGATCACTGTATACAATTACATGCCCTCGTCGATTTTGAAACAGGGCATCGGTCTTCCTCCGGTGTAGAAAGTGACGCCGATAGTGAGAATTTGCCGCCAATTCCGGTACAGGGTGGCGATTCATTGGGCAGCCCCTACGAAAATGTTCGTCCGGAGGATGATCTTTCCCCCGCGGAAGGAACGTCGCCTACTCAATGGCAGTTCTATCATAAGCCTCGGGACGACGATCGTCGCGTTTCCGGTACATCTGTCATGTCATTGTGAGTATTTTCTTTTACATTCTTTGCATGTTATTCGTTGCAATATTTTTTATAACGCATATATCAAATCTTTCCCCTATTTCCTCTTAGTGATTCTATGATGTTGTGATGGATAACGATACATGCTTGTAGAGAACATCTAGTACAAATAATATGTGTTCATGATATTAGCAAGTTCACGATATTAATTCGGTAGTAAACAAATAATTTACCATCAGAGAAATATTATGAGAAAATTATATATACATATATATATGATTGGATGAAAGAGAGAAAGAGAGAAAAAACATGAGAGAAATAACATGATATACCGACTATTCAAAGATAATTTCGATATATAAATATTTATTAGAATATATTGAATAATCTAAGAAGTCAGTTTATATCAGAAATGCTTCTAATCTGTCAGTTTTTATTATTACACTAAGTGTAGTAATAAAAACTGACAGATTACAAGCATTTATTACATTGCAAAAATTTTAATATACACGCATCGGACATTCATACATGTATTCTCATAATCATTTGAGAGGTTTGGGACTTCGCACGTAAAATATAGTGAAAAAGTATTTCTCTATCATTCAGACTCTATTTTCATAGAAGTCTCAAAGAAAAAAATAAAAGCTGCGATTGCATCGGGTAAGCGCAGAGGCTCGTAATATTTTGCAAAAAGGCTTCGTGCGCGCACAGCGGCTATGGCTGTGCTTTAATATAGAAGATGTTGGACAAACAAAAGCGTAGACATGGACGGAGCGCGGAGTGAATGAGTGAGTACCGGCCAAGCATTGGGATGATGACGGCTGGTGCTGGCGCTGCTGCTACCACCGTTGGTACCCGTAGGAGGTGGAGAAGGTTGTAGGTGGAGGTTCTCGAACCGAAAAGGGAACCTGGATATGGGGCGGTGCCAGGGGGAGAAACGTGAAGGAAGAGGTTGGAGGAGGTGGCACGACCGCGTGTAGCCCCAGCGCGTTAAGCACCGCTTGGCTTGGTTTAATTTTCCTGATGTAGGCAGGCGAGATGGTGGGTCCGACCGCCTCGTTCGCCCCTAGGTCACCCCCGTTGCATCACCCCATTGGTACTCTGTGCCAGTGCTACCGCTCTAGCTGCTAAGCCCGACTGGTTGGCTCGAGTACAGCGAGTGAGAAAGAGAAAGACGAAGACATAGGGCGATAGAGAGACGGTGAGGGAAAAGTGGAGAGTAAGGGAGCGAACAAATGAGAAAGAGGGATACGTAATATGTACGAGTGAAAGAGGGAGAAAGAGAATAAGAGAACGTGGGAGCTCTCGTTGATGTTCCGCACTTCTACCATCAATGTTTGACGTCGGTAGCCCCGGCTTGGCCGCCTCGAAATGAATCCATCACGTTAAACAATGTAAATGTTAGCCCGTCTCAGCATAAAACTAATAACCATTGCTCTCTCCCTCGTGTTATAAGCGCGTGGCCTCCGCAACCTCTCGGGGCCGCAAGCTCCTTTTTCGTTTCTCTTTTCCACATTCGTCGCGTTCCGTCCTAGTCGACGTGGCCTCATTAAAAAGTCGGCGCTTGTCTATGAATGTCTTCAATTGAAGCATATTTTGTCAATGGAAGCTGTCTTTTTTCTATATGTATACACACGATTTATATTTACATTTACATAATATGATTTTTACTCTTTGCTTTTGCGAATATTTTAATTTAGCATTCCGTTATTCGCAAATAATACATTTTAAATATTAAATAACATTAGCGTAATAAGATAGCGTATAATAAAATGCCGTATAAACATTAGTTAAAGTTTAATTTTATTGAGTGGCGTAGTTGAATAGCAGTTATTTCAGCTTGGTCGATATACAAGATTATGTTGCTTCGCTTTGAATATGCGGTTGATTGTTGGTAATCGATAACGGTTGATGTACCGGGATGCGCGTTTCAGTGAAGACGAGCAGAACGGGGAACCGGTGAACGGAGTACGAAGGGTCCTCCAGCAGACAGAGGACTCCGACCCCAGTTCCGTCTTCGACAGCGTCTTTATGTCCCTATCCGACACTCTCAACTCTATAAATACTCTCGAAAGTTCTGACCAAACTCCTGAAGATATACCACAAAACATTACCAAAAGAACACCATTACCATCCGACACTACACGGTAACGCAAACATTTTGCACCGCATAGTTGCATTAAAAACAACATATAATTTATAATATCGAATCAATGTTTCTAAAGGTAGTTTTGATTAAAGTAGCTTAATGCATGTACTTCATCTGTAAGACGTTTACCGAAAATTATATTCATGTACTTGATGTTGCTAAAAAATACTGCATAATACCTCAAACAAATACGATTTCGAGATATACTGTTGACGCGCAAAATGTAACAACGTAGACGTGAGAAGTTTTTGTATTTCTTGCTGATTAATCGAGTGGAAGCGTACGTTTCCGACATTCTCGATCTATCGAGTCGATTTATCATCAACCAATAATAGATAGTCGATTGGTTCCGCTGAAACCCCGAGTTTTGGTTGTACAGGGGCTCCGATAGCGGACTGTACCAAACTCCACCCGTGCCACGCGGCACAATGGAGGGTAGCTTCGTGTCGGAGGACCTGTCCTTGACATTGCCCACGGGATACGGGGGCAGAGAGTCCGACCAATTGAGCGTATCGTCATCCTCGAGCGTCGGCGGACCGAGCCCACGGGACCGTCGTTGTTTGCCCAACGATTCCAGCGCTGCCGGGATTTACTTGCCAATGGCACCTCTGTCCAGCTCGCTACACAGTCCTGCTTCCAACAATAAAGTCTCGGTAAGAGCCCCGGTTTATCTACATAAATTATGAAGAGATATTCTCAGATATAAACATATCCGTATCTGACGAAAGTTAAAGAAATAAAATTGCCTTGCACGTTTTTTCAAATCGCGCGAATTAATTTTTTCGGGAATATTTGTGAACGTGAAGATATAATTCAAACAAACGTCCACCAACGTGAAGAAATATTCGCTTCTTCTTCCGCAGCCGACGCCGCCCAAGAAGCCGCCTAGACGAAATCTCTCGGTATCCCCGACGCACCTGCAAACGCAGATGTCTTTATCAGCTGACAGTTCGGTAGGGCCGAGTAATTACGAGTACTTGTTCTTGGCGCGCAGCGGTGCGCGAAGTCACATCGATCTTGAGCAGCTGCAGAAACGGCGTGATCAGCTGCGACACGTTACGCGAAGCGTGGACCAATACGTGGAGATGAAATCGCGATTGGTTGGAACCGATGAAAAACGCGAGTCCAATGTGGAGCCAGTAGCCATAACGTCTATCTACGAGAACCGGCCGATCAAGATGCTGAATCCGCGAAGAAAATTACGCAGACATGCGTACGAAAACTACGAACCGGAGAATAGTCTGTGTGCCGACAAATCACCCTGCAGCGACGGTGACGTGATTCAGGAGCAAACGTTTGTATCGAGCGCGTTTCTCACCTTGAAGTCTTCCCAGGAGAGTCTCCTCGATGAAAGACGTGAGATAACGGATGGACAATCCGCGTCAGAGAGTCGCGAGGCCACCGACAAACGTCTTAAACGCGTGCAGATGATGCTGCCGACCAGTCCTACGCATTATGTTCAGCCGCCCACTCCTGATCATCCGCCGCCGTCCGCCATGCAAGCGGAAAGGTCCATCCATGAGCGCATTCGTCCGCTTAGTCAGGTAAGTGTTATCAGCGGTTATTACTCTACACAAGGTCAATATGTTGATGGATGTATAGTGCCAAATAACGATAGCGAATATAGAGTTAATTATGGTCATTAGTAGCGTGCAATTGGTACTTGATGTTATTACGAATCGTTCTAAAGCAACAATATTTTCAGTGTTTATTAAGAGAATCGCAATGATTGTTTTGTTTTTCTAGATATGTCTAGAACTTTTTGAAAAAAATCGTATTTTTGTAAAATAAAGTTCCTTTAGAAAATCACATTGGCAAGTTATCAATCGACAGATGGTTCTTAAGCGACTAACGTCATTTCCAATCTTCACATTAACTCGAACGTGTGTGCATGTAAGATTCCTCACGAGAATTCTGCAGTTCATTTCAAATGGTATAGTGATCTCAAATGGGAGATCGCTTCTGCGATTTATCGCGCGGTACTTGGCGAAGCGTGCAACGGCGGCGTTCAACTTTGCATCGTCGACTGCTACTTGGAAGTGCGGCAATCAGAAGATATTTATACATATATGTATCATATGTCGAGAGAAATATCGAGATAGTGCCGTTAAAGACGCGTCAAATTGTGGAAACTCCGCGGAGAACACGCGGGGAAATTTCAAAGCGTCGGTGATTTACCCGAAACTGCCGATCCTTTAAGCCTTTTCATGACATAAGATCTTAGCAGCGTGCGCTCGTTAAGGATCGCCATTAACGCTCTCACTTGACCTGGTGCCTTGGACAGTAGATAAGCAGTCGACATAGCGTCTTACCAGGTTACGTTTAATATACAAGCTGTGTTTGATCTGTGATGCGATTTACAAGGACTCATCTCTCTGCCTCGCTCGCTACTGCTGCCGCTACCTTCGGCCTGTCTCGCTCGTTTACTACCGTTTGCGCGTCGCCCTATGATCGTTCTGCTGTGAGACCGACTACGTTCAATTCCCATCCACCGCGAATGGATATCCATAGCACACGACGCAGCTTCCAGCGCACTTCTGCCTCCCTTCCTCTCCCTCTCTCTTTGCTCTTTCCACGGTATCTCTCTGCCATCCACCCCAGCTTCTCTCTGCCGCTCCCTATATGCATTCGCAATCCGTGTCTTTCAGTCAGCTATACACGCTTGACGAAATATTACACAGTGAATATATCCAGAAAGGAGTCGCTGAATGCGGCGAAGACGGCGAACTCGTATGCACAGTCGGTGATACCATATAACATCGCTTGCTTGGGAGATGCTCGATGTCTTCATCATGCAAATCGTCTATTTGATAGACATAGATACCTTCTTCTCGTAACATGCTTTGTACATCCTTTTCCTTCAATGAATTGTAAATCCTTCGTTCCCCGTTGGATTACTATAGGATGAGTCTAAACATATTTCCAGATTCTAAATTTAAATAAGCCCCAAAGCCCAAAGATGTGTTAAACAAATATGCATTGGAAAATTCAATCAAGAAGGTATTTTGAGGAAGCTATTGAGGGCTAACTTAATATTGCTAATATCGCTAATAATATGATTTACGCGACTGATATCGCAATATTCGTCAGTCGACTCACGATAGTATCCGAGCGTATTCTCAATTCGTTGAACAGCTGATATGATTCGATGATGGAAATCGAACGCTATTACGGCGGCTGAAGACAGCATGCTCGGCACACGGAGGCAGAGGGTCTCCGTGAACCTGTCGGAGGAAGGACGAAGAGATGGGAGAACCTTCTACGGATGGTTGCTTCTCACCCGTCAACTTCCGCGAATCCAGTAGAGCGGCAGAATGCAAGACGCCGACACCCTTTGAATAATGAAGCCCTCGGCTTCTATGCCTGTCTGACTTCGCCTCGCGAACGCTCGTTCTCCGTTGCCATAGGAGAGAGAGAAATTCACGAATTTGTAGCGACGGTTTCCGGCTGTCTCCTCGAGATGTTCTCGGCGTTTTACAGATGATACCGCGAACGTCTGTCGGGCCTCTGACGTCAAATTTTAATTGCGTTAGAGCCTTTCTGGAAACGCGCGATGAAATAGCAGCTTGCCGTTTCGTAGTTTGCACTTAGTAAATCAAAACGCGAGGTCTCATTGAGTGGCATAACGTAATTTTCGGTTGTTTAATACGTCTCGCTGTTAAACATAAATGACATTACGTTGACCATAGCTTAAGTTAAGTTGATTATAGCTTATTATTTATATGTATAATATAATATAAAAAAACACATATGTAATTAAATATAAATCTATATAAACTGTACCAAATTGTAACTTTAATTATTTCAGTATTAAAATTATTCATCTTCAGTTATTCATCTTTCCTTCTTTCTCTTCTATTTTTTATAATAAAAATAATTTTTCATGTATAAAGTAATTCCGATGTAAACTACATTGCAATATTTGCAGGCAATAATTCTTTGCGGATCATAAAATTCAAAAGTGCTGGAAAAATCGTATTATATTTGTCATTTATGACTCGCCGTCAGCGGAATCGAAAGAATTAATGTCAAAAGGTATAGATTTTTATTCGAATAAATAAATATGCTTTAGGTTGACCACGCGTATTTATTTTCCCTCCGATTTACATGGCATATTTCTCGCGTGCCTGCGTGCGGACGTTTCGTTTCAATAAATTTTCATCGCGATAGGATTGGCTTCATTTTTCCATCGTGTGATTTGCCGCGGCTCGACGCGACGCGGCTCACGGGGGAATTTTTATATCGACTGTAAATATCCGTGTATAAAATACGAATGTTGACAATTTCGTGATAACGGCGATACGCCCAGAGTAATAGTGGTCGCGGGCAAATTGTAAAACGCAACTGCCATAAATCCAACAACATGATCAGTACGAGTTTCACGGCAGATATTGAAGGCTTGGAAACTGAAGCGTCGAAAATGCCCTTTCCCGCAGTATTTACTACAATACAATACTGTAGCGTGTACTTTAAGCGTGGAATCTCGTTTCTTCTTCAAATGGCGCTGATTTGTCAATAGGTATACAAGCGAAGATCCCGCGACATGGAAACGGAAACGGACGAAGATCTGCTGCAATTTCCCACCGGTGGATCACTCAACGCATCAAGCGGTTCGTTGTCCAGCGTATCACTGTCCGACAAGAGCATGTCCACGGATAATGTCGAGGAATACTTCGGCGACGTGCCGTTTGCAGGTAAACAGCAACGCACGCTTGGCTGCACCGCATGACGCTTCTTTCTGCCCACGTGTACATGCATAACCGTTGTGTTACGTTTCTGTCTTTTTACCGTCTGTCTGAGACACCGCTGACGCGACGATTGGGACGTTTCTGGAGACGTACACACTAAAGCAAATCTCTCGATTTTTCCCTCTCGATTTAAAGTGTCGTTGATTCGTACTGCATTGGTGAAAACGGGCAGGAAGGTGTAAGGCGAACTGTGTATATATGTGTTACCTAAAAATCATGGTGTTGATGCTATAATAATTTTATATATAAAGGAATTAAATTACCTTCTTCCTCATTGTTATTGGTATTAACATTTATATGTGGCGTTATATGTGGTGTAACAGCACAGTACAGTTTTATTTCACGGAAATATTTGATAAATGAATGTAATAACGGCATGAAGACAGAAATCTATATTATTTTCATCCTTTTTTTGCATTCATTTCATTATCATTCGATATACGGATATATAAGAGAGATTGGAATATAATATAAACAACACAAAACCTATACTCGTATAATTAAAATATATACATTAGGAGCAGCTGGTCTGCGTAAAAATATTTAGAAAATATATTCTAAGAGTTATAT